GGAAGGCCTGGCGCAATATGCTTCATGGGGTCACGAAGAGTTGGACACGACTTAACGACTAAGTAACAACAACATGGATTTCATGAACAAAAGGGAAACAGTATTTAGGGCAATGTTGATACAGCCTCCATGGAGTATCTAGATAGACCATCAGTATGGTCTATCTGAAAACAAAAAGAAAAATAATTTTTTACAGCTTTGGGCTCTGGAAGCAGTCCAGGCACTCTATAAATTCCTATATCAATACAGATTCCTCCTCTCCAGCTTTTCAAGTTGTCATTCTAGGAAATTATTAGGAATGAGAAGGTATTAAAGCCCTTAGCAGTTGAAGTAGATAATCATGTTTTCATTTATGTAGAAATGTGAGGAACAGTCCAAGTTTTGTCTCAGGGCTGCTAGCGTTCACCCATACCCTTTCACAGCATGAGGGCCTGCTATCTGGGAATGCATTTCTACAATTACGCTAACCTCTCATGATTTGTCTTCCCTATGGTAGCAAGAATCAGCCTAGCAGCTTCATCTCACACTACATGATCAGGTAATTAATCCTAGCAAGGCTCAAGGTGATCAACTGGATCTGGGACTCGGTCACTCTCTGCAGTGTGAGGCAAAGCCAATCTTTTGGCGATCTCTTGGGATATTGGCACTGGGTTTTCACAGGTAAGGCCTCCCAAAGCTGCAAATCCACCTCCTGTGTGGCCACAAATCATTGAAGGGGTGAAGACCACTATTGGATCAAGCAATCCTGAAGCTCAATCAATGATTTGTTGACCCCCACCTAGTCTAGGCCCAATATCAAAACCTCCCCCTGGGAGAGAAGGTTGACACGCTCCACATGTGGATGTTAGAACCTGATGCTTTCCTGCTGGTGCTTGCAAGTGAGGAGGCTGCAGGAGCAGACCCGAGAGTGCCCAGTGACATCAATGTCAATAAAAAAATAACAGACTTGGCACTACTGGGCATAGATGTGCGGGGTTGCGGGGGAGGATGTAATAGACCCTGACTACCAAGGAATGCTTCTCCACCTCAACCCAGAGACCTGAAATGAGCCTCATAGCAGGAGAGAGAGTGGTGCAACTGATCCTGCACAAAATCACCTCCCCTCATGTGACAACGGGAAACCCCCTGCACAGAGTAAAGGAAAGGAGAAAAGACAATTTGAGGCCACAGGAGCAAAAGTGTGGGTGAAGGGAGGCACTGAGTAACGGAAAGCAAGTAAAGTGTTCTGTCCTACTTGGGGGGGGGGGAAGATTCACATCTCCAAACAGAACAAGACTCCCCTACAGGAGTGGCTAACAATTGTCTTTTTGTTCAGTAGACTTCAGTAGGAACTCGCGAGGAGGATTGCAGTCACCTCAGGAGGAGTCTTCCAAGTTTTTGAGTTGAGGCCTTGAGTTGAGGCGTGAATCTGTATTGGGTCTACATGTCTATGCCTCATCCCTGGCAAAAGAGATTCCCTGCCTACACAAAGCCACTGAATAACTCTAAAATTTGTGACTATTTTGACTTTGTGAGAGAGCGGGTACGAACTCAGCACTCTCTAATAATCAACCAAACTCTAAATGCACTTTTATTGTTGATAGGCCATGTGTCTGTGCTAGGTACAATGGGCAGGAGAAACCCCTCAAGTGAAACTCAGGGCATCCTGCAGAAGACTGGGCATGCAGGCTATAAGAGAGAGCTTACAGGGCTGGATTGCCCTGTATTCAACTGCCGAGGCCATTTTCTTCCTCCCTCCTGAAGGCGTGTGCTCTTTTAATTTGGTTGAGAATTCCAATTTAACAGAAGGAAATACAACAGATTTTAAAACTTTGATTCACAACATTGGCTACAGTCAGGGCTCCTTTGATTTGACCAAAAATACAAATTTCAGTCACGTATTGATGTGTAACTACAAAGCTCCCTGACTGATTGTGCATAAAATATTCTACTTTTGCACAAAAATATAAAAGAGGCATTGTGAGAAGGAAATCAAATTCTCCCCCCCCCATGTCAGCAGGAAGTCAGAGCTTCTCATTTGTCTCACCCTACCATTGTCAATCTTAAACAGCAATCAAAGCATGTGGATAAATTAGAGTAAGAATGGGCTCACCCAAAAAGATTAAGACACAACAGAAAGAATCAAGAGTCCTCCACCCTAGACCAAAATTAAATAACTAAAGACCTGGCAGGAAGGGCCACCATTCCTTAAACCAAAAAAAAAATTGAACCATAAATAGCTTTCTTCCTGAAGGGATCTACATTCCAATTAGACAATACCTGATTAGGAAAACAGAGGAAATACCAGCTCAGTAGGGCGCCTGACCTTAGACTTCTCCCATCAAAAGGTCTACTCAATTTCACCCTCCCCAGAATGCCCCCTCCCCTGGAATCCCAACTAAATACCTTTTCTAAGAAATCCTAGAGGGCGGGTTTCCCCTTAAACCTTTTCAGGATCTTCCCTATCCAAGGGGATTCCTGGGAAACCCCAATGCAGATCACCTTGTGTATCTGGCTTTTGGAAATAAAGTTTTCTTCAAACAACCACCTGCATGTTTATTCCTGGCTTGGAGATGAACCTTCTGAGTGTGCATTCTAACAATTTGCACTATACTGCAGCTGAAACGTTTGGGAGAAATGAGAAAAACAAGGAGAAGTGCTCATGACAAAGAGGATCCCCAAAGGATGGAGAGAGAGATTTATCTAGGAGAAGTGGATTTTTTAAAAAAATTACTTACAAATTAGATTTAAAAAGAGAATGGTTTCATATTACGTCTCACACTACTGAAAACCAGAGTCATTCAGTGAAAATAAAGGAGAGGTGATAAATTAAGGATTATTCTCACATGCAAAATAACAAAGCAGAAACATAAGAGGGAATCTTTAAAAACAAAATAGCTGCCATCTTTATTTTCTATCAGGAAACCAAGAATGACGGAAGAACAGAGCAGCATTGCCTAACACTGTTAAAGCGGTCCTGATCCTGATATAAGGCGTGATGATTCCATTACAAGGATGAAAATATGAAGTTTGCCCTTTCTAAACCCTCCAGACCAGCCACCTTTCCAAGCCTATTTCGGAACAGGAAATCAAAGGGCAGCTTTGCTTTCTCACGACACCTGCTTTGATCTTCTGGAGCTTAGTCATGTCTTCCCAAACTCACTTCCTCTTTTGCAATACAAGGATCTCCCTGGAGAAACAGGCCTGCTTCGCCTCATCCTACACACCAGGGGGCAGTCCTGTCCCACAGAACCCCATGAGCCATGGGGGGAGGGGCAGGAAAACAAAACCAGGATTTCCTGATCTGGTTTCAATTCTCAGGTTGATGATTCTCTTGGTTGGTGGCTTGAAAATTCATAGAGATGGTCCTATGTCAGTTCCGCTCCTCAAGAAGTTGTTCTCTCCACAAAACCAAGGCTGAGTTCACTATAGTCCTGCTTTCATGACCATAAAGC